TGTGTGTGTGTGTGTGTGTGTGTGTGTGTGTGTGTGTGTGTGTGTGTGTGTGTGTGTGTGTGTGTGTGTGTGTGTGTGTGTGTGTAAATGTACCAAAGTTAACTGAAGTAACATTCAAAACTGAAATAAGAAGCACAGTACATTCACAATACTTACTCCAAACCCCACCATTCACTTGTGGCAACTGGCTGGGTAAACTATCAGATGTTTCTCCATGTAATGATGGCTGAACAGAATCAGGAAAACAAAATTCACATATAGCACAATCAAGTAAAATATGTATATAAAAAACATACAAGATTCATGTTTATTTCTTAATAATTAAATCTATGTATAAATTTTCTAAACATATTGTAGGATGTGACAGTTTTAACAAACCACCAGACAGCTAGTAAGTTTTTTAGTGATTTATTTATTACAAGTTTGTCAAATACAATTTATTTCTCAATCACACCAATACTGAAAGATGAGCCCCAAAACCTTCAAACTTTTCTCATTAAAATAAACATACAAACAAGAGAGAATCCTCAATAGCTGCAGCATTTGAAATTCTTTTAAGCAGAATTAGAGTACATGAATCCCACATACTACACCAAGTTATAATTTAATTTGAAGAGGGTTATGTAGACAATCACTAATATATAACCTTTTTTTCCTTTTTTATTAGCTATATTTTGTGCACCAGCAATACCAAGTGTGAGGCTCATGTATACCCAATTTGATTTTATTACTCATCAGTATCTCTACCAGCCTACCATCAAATTGAAATTCTTTTAGGCAGGATTAGTGTAAATTAATCTATGAAACCTTGGGCACGGTAAAATACATCAATCAAAGGGGTTTGACCTCCTGAGTACAAAACTGTAATCTCAAATCAGTCAGGAGATGATGGAGCTATAAGCTAAAAGTTTGTATTTGAAAAAAAACAACTAAGCCATTGTATGAGCTGCTATGCCGTGGCTAAAAGAAGTCAGCATATTACAGTTTACAAATGTATTACTTATAGGAAATGCTATAAGTTATGTAGAATATAATAAAAATTAAATGGTCAAAGAGGAGAGAAAGTCAAAATCTGGAGAATAAAAAATGATTCCCCAGTTTAGAAGAGCAAAAAAAAAAGCATATTTATCAGAATAAATCCTACCTATTCCACACAAAAAATAGTTAAACTGAAAAATATGGGTTTAGTTTTGAGGGTCAAGTCTGTGTTTATATGAAAAAAAATGTAATTTTGATTTACTTTCTAATTTTTTTATTACATTACCCGGGGGGTTACCATAGTAGTATCTCAAACTTTAAATAATTGTCTCCTTTTAATCAAAGTTCACACAGACGAGTTCACTTATGTTAGAACACCCTTTGACAAGACAAATTATTAACTTTATCTCCATGAAACTTACTTTAAAATATTGCCCATTACGACTAAACTAACGATCACGCAGTCTAACTTCACTTTCACTAATTTCATGTTTTCCGATTGAACATTACTTTACTTGCACTCACTTGGTCGCCTATATTCATACATTTCCCAACTGAAGCCTCGAACTTTCTGTAAACTACGCGATGCTATAATGGAACAATACTCACTTACAAGTAACGAGGTTATGAGGTAACGAGAAAATATTGAAAATTCAAGTAATTTGATGTCAACAATATTACTAAAGTCTGGTACAACAATCTAACTGCATGCACAACGTACAACTCATACAAAGTTATGTAACAAAATTTGTCACAACTAATGATTTTAAAACAATCAACCTTCAACATTCCTGTCATGAAAACTAAATCATTAAATATTAAGTCACAAAATAAATTAAATAATAATGCTTACACTAAACAGTATTGTATATCCAACATGGTTATGAGTTCAGTCCAATTGACCGACCTTATATAAAGTCAAGGTAGAGAAACTTAGAAATAAAATAAAGATTGTCTGAAAAAGTTGATATTTATCTAGAAGGTTTTAGAGATTATGCAAATGAAATTTGACACTTTTCAGATAAAGTATTCTTATTCTTAAAATCAAAATCACTTTGCATGTTGGATAGTCAACATTCCAAAAGCAACCATTCACGAGCAAATCTTTAACAAACATAGTTAATTAAAAAATAAGGTTTTTTGTGTACAAAAGCCTTGTAATATTTATTGATATTTTGTAAAATTTCATGAAGATAACCATACATTATTAAACGTTATAGTAATAACTAGTATTACTAATCTCATGGTTACTTTGATGGTTATGTAGTAGGTGCAATGCACCTAGTCCATAGTTAGAGTTAAGGATGAAACAGCTTCCCTACTAACAGAAGTTAGTCGTATCTGATAACAAGTACTGCCTACCTATTTCAAATTTACCATTGAGAGCTTTTACTTTAAAATAAGCTATTTCTATTGTTTATAACCATGTATAACAAATAAGTAAATGTGGTTTGTAAATCTTGTCTAAGTTATCGAAGGTGGGTGTGGTTTCTGTCATGGGGTAGCAAAATTTATTTCTTGTGTTCAGTAAATTGAATTGAAAAACTTTAAAACAAGAATATGTAAATAATGTAATAAATGCAGACTGTGTCTAGACATACATATACAGTCTTGGTCTAGTATTATTCAACTTACAGAAACTAAAATTTGAGAATGATGAAAGTCCGTACGTCATGTGACAACAACACTGAAGTTTTAAGTACCGTATTTTTCGGAATATAAGATGCACCTTTATTTTGAAGACAAAGTTTTTGGGAAAAAAAAGCTACAGTCACATTTGAAAGATTTTTATTGAATAAAAATTCAGTTTGATATTTTAAAAATTAGTATATATTGTTCTAAACACAAAAGAGCTCAAAACATCAAAATAAGACAATACCGTAAATCAAAAAAAAGGTTTACTGTTATTTAGTTTGGTTCAAAACCTACAAAATCTTCATTGCTTTCACTGTAATTTATTTTTTTTATCATTTAGGGAGCATTATAAATAGTTATGTTTTTAAAATAAAAAAAACTACTATTGTTATAAATAACACATTAAATTGATCTAAACTATGCATGCCTATTTAGAGTTAATTATCAATTAAAACACACTATGATTAAGTAATGAGTTGTTTTTTCCAGAAATAATTATGAAAAATTACAGTAATGGAATCAGGGTAAACAATTTGAAATTATGAAAAATAGAGCACTGTACAGCATTTGACAACAGACCAGTGAGAACATGGTTAAGATCAAATGTAAAGAAAAAAATTTAATGTTGGGATTTCAGATTTTGTAATATTTAAAATTCTTTATACAAATAAGCCTTATATTATTACAAAGCCTGGTTTTGTTGTTTTAAAAAAATCAACTTTCAAAAAAGTTCAGCCACACACAAACAATGAGTTGATGTGTGGTGAAAAAAGAAAAAATACATTAATTACATGTACTACAAACACCAACTTACAAATTCTTGATGAAAGTTTTTGCCAGACACTCCTTTTCCTTTCCGCTTATTGACTCAGTACTTGGTCCTGATGAAACGACCACCTGTTTGCTTTTGGTTTGAACATTTCCACATCCTTTACCAGATTCCCCATGATGTGAAAATCCATACTAAAGAGGATATTAAAGGTACCACACTGACAAAATATGCATTCTAACCATTATACGAACAAAGTATATTAAATTAGTATTTTCATTGATTCTTTGTTCTGATCAATTATATTAACTTGCTTTGATAGAAGTTAATATTTATAATTTTCTTTTACTCTAGATCTCATTTGTACAATTTTCACTGTAGTGTTAAACAATAGTGTTGTTAAATTATTTTTCCAAAGAGCTTAAAAACATGAGAAATATATGTATTTCACTCTTTCATTTTTGAGCTCTTTGGAAAAATAAGAATTTAACAACAGTATCCTTTAAGACTACAGTGTATATTGTATGAATGAGATCAAGAGTAAAAGACAGAAGATATATATATTTAACAACACACACACACACACACACACACACAGACAAGAGTTCACTTCGGCGAGTGAAGTTACAGAATGCACGCACCACACATGCTATAATTTGTTTTTCAGAACCTTTAAAAATATTAGGCAAGATAACATCACGAAACCAGTTTCAACTTCACCATATAGTGAATAATAAAAAATTGTGAGAATATGACCACAATCACAATTAATATATGTATATAATTCATAAAATATCCACTGTAGTCTTAAAGGATAGTATATTTAAATTCTGTTATTCTTCCAAAGAGCTAAAAAAAGAAGGAGAAATACATTTATCATACATTTTTCTTTCTCCTATTTTTTTTTTAGCTCTTTGGAAAAATATATGTATATATTAATTACATTGTAACTTTCTGGCAACAGATAAGTTTTACTTTCACATTAACCAAGCAGCAAACACAGAGTAACATCTATTTTGGAACAGATCTACCACACTGAGAAAACTACTAAATTTTAAATAGCATATTGAAATACTTTGGTATTTAATTCAATTTATATTTTTTAAGAACAAAAGCCTAATAAGAGAGAGAATTAACAGTAACTAAAATTAACTTAGAATGATGACAACAAAATGTTATTTATCATCTTATAAGTTTTACTGTACAGTCATTCAAACTGAGATGGAACTTTGACACTGGTACTTTTAAATGCAACTCCAACTAACTGATACCACAAAACTGAAGAGTAAACAAGTTTAGAGTTCAACAAAAGGAAAAGTTTATTCTACATTTAAGATAAACTTCAGACTAACAGTTATGAAACCCTCTAAAATCCTTAACTGTACTCATTAAACTTCTAGAAAAAGTGCCATAACACAACGAGAAAAGGTTATGAGCTATTTTTAATGTATTTTCCAGTCTTTTGGTGTCCAATCTTCTAGTACATAGACAACTACTGCAAATGCTGATAGGAATACACTAACTATTGCTGAAATCTAAATACCTGCATTTCCCTAAACTTTGAATTTATTTTCCTTTATAACTACACAAGTTAACAAGAAAAATTAAGTATATATTTCACCATAATACATAAGTATCAAATGTTACATGTCATTTCATTGAAACAAAAGAACTGAGGATAAAATCTAAACTTAACCCTATAAAACTGCCTTGTGTAAAAACAATCCTCAAATACCAGTAAGAATATACACTCATGCAACATGTGCAAATGTAAATTCATGAAAAATGATCTAACATTTATTTGATCTTGTTAATATAGATATATTAGGTTACATAGATCATCATATCACTGAAGTAAATATACGAGTCAATATTAAAGCAGTTTTTTTTAGTTGTTTCGTAAATCATAATCAACCTAAATAATAGTACAAACACAGCAAGTTCTTTCATTTTCTTTTTGTACTTAATCCTCCTATTATTAAGATATCAAACAGATGTACACATTCAGTATTATGGACATTTCAAAGCAACACATCTAGCTGTGATACATGGAAAAAATTTGATTAATTTTTGTAATTACTATAACTATTGAACCAAAATGCACACAAGATCGCAAAAAGTGTGAATTAAATCAATATACGAGGATACATAATGTATCCATGTTGATAATCAAATGGATAAAAACCTAATATATTAAAATCCACAAATGAAAAATATTTTATAATTACACAATTAAAAACTTTCTTTAAACCAATCAATGGTTGTAAAAGTCACTAAATGTTTTAAGTGTGTAGAGTGACTTTTAAAACTGTTGATCGATTTAAATAAAGATTTGAATTGGGTATTATAAGATGTTCTTCATTTCTGGATTTTAATATTTTAAATATATTCACAAGTTCCTTGAATTTGAACCTTTTAATACAATAAAAACCTACTTATAAAATGAAGCTTAACCCAATTCAACAAAAAACATTAATCCATAAACATTTAAAGAAAAAAAACTTTCATTCAAGAACAGTTTATCCCCATTATATCTCATTTCTTCCTACACACACGCACACACACACATATACATACATACATACATACACATATATACATACATACATACATACACCTGAGTACCTACATACATACATACACA